GTAAAGAATGATCCCATTTGTGATCTTTAAAGAATTATGAATATGTGTTAAATAAATTTGTAAAAATCTACAAATATGAATCAAACTCTCGACAGTGGTTACTATAGTGAAGGAAACAGGATACAGGAGATTGGTCGCGGATCAAAAAGAACTTTTACTTTTTATTTTTCTATTTCTGTATTATTTGAACTTTTATAATGCACATGAATTTTGGCCTAAGCATAGTTATGAACATGCAAAATATATAATATAATCTTATTTTTTAAATATATAAACTTATATGATCTATATTATTTATTATCCTAAGCAGTTACGTAGATTGATGTGCTTTAAGTGTTAGCATTGATCATTTCTGGCTTGGGGGTTTATGAGTAATTTTTATTACCTTTTTTACTTATTTGCATTTTAAATTTATACAAAGAATATTTTATTAGTATAATAAAATAATTTACAAGTAAATATAAGGAAATAAATGTGCTGGACTGCAAAGTCAATTGTTCATTTGAAACCATATTCAGGGTTGCCATGGTTTGAAACTAACTCGACAGCACTTAACAACAACAAATATAACTTATAATGAAATGTACAAAGCTCTGAAGTTAGAAAACCAAAAGGAAAGAACATGCTTAGGATTTCTCAAGCTGAAAGAACTGAAGAAAAAATTCAAGCTTTGATTTGAAATATTGAAGAATTCTATAGGGTCCTGGGGGTCCTGGTATGGCACTGTAGGAAAAGCACAGGACTGCTCATCGCAAGTTTGGCAGTTCAAGCCCACCAGACACTCCTTGAAAACACTATACTGGGTCACTATGAATTGCAACTGACTTGAAGGCACTTAACAGCAATAGCAATAATAACATGGAGTTCTGGTGTAGCACCGTGGGATAAGCACTGGACTGCTAACCACAAGGTTGGTGGTTCAAACCTATCAGCTTTTCCTCAGCAACCTTACACATAGTCGTTATGAGTTAGAACTGACTTAACAACAACATGGGCAAAATACTGAATGGTGCATGAAGCATCAAAGAAAATGGAAGGAATACATAGAGGCACTGTACCAAAAAGAATTGGTTACTCACCCACACTTGCAGATAATACCCACTTGTCCTGGCTTCAATGACTGGATGATCAGAGCTCAACCAGAAGTAAAAAGAAGAGGGGGGGAAAAAAAAGTATTGTCATACAATTTGATGAACTTGACCTACACCTATGGAAGCAGTAGCTCAAAAGATGGAACAAGTCCTAACAGCAAGAATCATTCCCACACCCTTCACACACAGAGTAGACAGGGATGGGCAACTTGGGCATTGGCTACCCAAAATGGGGGTGGGGGGCTACAAAGGCAAAAAGTGACTGGCTTACAAGCTTTCAAGAGAGAACCTAGATCCAGAGGGCCTGGAGGAAGGTAGAATCTCCAGTGAGTCATATTCAATCTGTCTAGTTGGGGCTGATGCAATGAAATGTAGACGGGTCTCTTGTGATACAATAGTGAATAATTGTTATCAGGACTGATTGTGAGGGTTGGAAATGTAAAGGTAGACGTTTTATAGCAAGGAGGGGAGTGATTAACTTTTCAGTCTAGGAGCGGAGGTCCCTAGGACCATCAAGGGAGAAGAGCAGAGAGCAGGACCCTACCCAGAGAAGCAGTGATGCCTGAAATGGAGCCAGAGATGATGATGTGGAGTGATGGAGCAGTTGGAGACTTTAGATCCAGAGAGGAGAGCGACTATGTGCTGAAGACCTGGGGGGCACGGGGGAAGGATTGCATGGAGGGGATTGTAACCATGGCAATGATACAATATACAATAGAATGAATGTAAAACTAATGTTCTCCCATGTAAACTATCACATAATTCACAATAAAACATTAAAAAAAAGAAAAAAGAATTGGTTACTACTCAACCAATTCAAGAGGTGCCATATGATCAAGAATCAATGGTACTTATGGAAAATTCCAAGCAGCACTGAAGGCATTAGCAAAAACAAGCCTCCAGGAATTGATGGAATACAAATTGAATTATTTCGACAAATTGATGCAGCACTGGAGGCACTCACTTGTCTATTTCAAGAAATTTGGAAGACAGTTACCTTGTCAACCAATAGGAAGAAATCCATAATTGTGTCCACCATAACAACCAGAGAAGACCCAATGGAATGCGGACATTATTGGACAATATCATTAATATCACAAGCAAGTAAGATTTTGCTGAAGATAATTCACAAGTGGTTGCAGCAGAACATCAACAGATAACTGCCAGAAATTCAAGTTGGATTCAGAAGAGGATTTGGAATGAGGGATATCATTGCTGATATCAGATGGATCTTAGTTGAAAGCAGAGAATACCAGAAAGATGATTACTTACGCTTTATTGACTATGCAAAGGCATTCGACAGTGTGGATCATAACAAACTATGGATGACATTGCAAAGAATGTGTATTCAAAACACTTAATTGGGCTCATGATCGAGTACATAGATCGAGTCAGTACAAGGCAACACTGAATTGTTTAAAATCAGGAAAGTTGTGCACCAGGGTTGTATCCTTTCATCATATTTCTTCAATCAATATGCTGAGCAAATAATCTGAGAAGCTGGGTTATATGAAAAAGAATGTAGTATCAGGATTGGAGGAAGGCTTATTAACAACCTGCAATATGTAGATGATACAACTTTTCTTGCTGAAATCAAAGAGGACTTGAAATATTTACTAATGAAGATCAAAAACTACAGTCTTCTGTATGGATTACACCTGAATGCAAAGGAAAAAAAAATCCTTACAACTGGACTAGTAAATAACATTATGATAAACAGAGAAAAGACTGAAGTTGTCAAAGACTTCATTTTGCTTGGATCTATAATCAGCATTCATGGAAGTAGCAGTAAAGAAATCAAAAGACTTATTGCATTAGGTAAATCTATTACAGAAGGCTTCTTTGAAGTGTTCAAGAGCAAAGAATATTAGTTTGAGGGCTAAGGTGTGCCTGATTCAAGTCATGATATTTTCAATGGCCTCATATGCATCTGAAAGCTAGACAATGAATAAGAAAAACTGAAGAAGAATCAATACATTTAAATTAGGTGTTAGAGAAGAATATTGAAAGTACCTTGAATGGCCAAAACAAATGAATACATCTTGGAAGAAGTACAACCAGAGTGTTCCTTAGAATCCAGGAAGGTGAGAATATGCCTCTTGTTCCTTGAACATGCTATGAACAGGGACCCGGGTCTGGGGAAAGACATCATACTTGATAAAGTGGAAGGTCAGTGAAAAAGCGGAAGACAAGATAGACTGGCACCGTGGCAACAACAATGGGCTCAAACTTAATAAAAATTGTGAGGATAACAGGATAGGGCAGTGTTTCACTGTGTTGTGCATAGGGTTGCTATGAATTGGAACTGACTTGATGGCACCTAACAACAACAACTTGTAGCTTATAAGAAGTCCTGGTAGTTCAATAGTTAAGGCCTCGGCTGCTAACCTAAAGATTGCAGTTCAAACCTATTCAGCAGCTCCATGAGAGAAAGATCTGGTGATCAGCTTCTGCAAAGATTATAGTCAAGAAAACCCTATGAGGTAGTTACACTCTGTCACATTGGGTTGCTCTGAGTTGACATAGACTTGAAAGCACCCTAAAAATAATAGCTCTGTAATTTATAAACAAAGGACATACATTGCTACTTTAAAATTGGGCAAAGAACATATGAAGAAAAGAATCCCAAAAGAACAAATATTAATGACATAAATATATGAAAAAAGGTTCAACTTTACTAATGATCTTTGAGAAAAAGTATTACAGAACTTAATGCACTTGGCAGGATGAAGGTTTCTAACTAAACTGTAGATCAGATTCCACAGTAAGCCAAATTCCTTTTTCTTACTCTGAGATTTACTTCTGCTTCATATGTGACAAGATAGAAAAATATACAAAGCTACCAAGAATGACTTCAAGAAGCTTGTCTACTTCTTGTAATTCTAAAGGGAGAATAGCAGAGCCAAGAAATTGAGCAATTCCTATTGGTGACTCACCTTACGTTTGGCTTCCTACTTGTGTTACAAAACAAAATAAAACAAATTTTGCTTGCTGGGGGAGAAGACTTGGAAATAAGAGTGCAAGCTTATTGGAGAGAATTCAGTTTTAAGAAGAGTTGCACTTACCAACACTCCAAATCCCTTATCTCTCCTCTCCCCTACCTTTTATCCTTCACGGCCTTCCCAAGATTTCTTATTATTGAAGTGAAACAGACCCCAGATAGGTCAGCCTGCTGCAACCAACACAGATTTTAAAAAGTTAAATGGAATATTGTTTGTGTGACTTTGTGGGTTAATGTGCTAGAGCTTTTTAAAAAGTTAAATGGAATAGTGTTTGTGTGACTGTGGGTTAATGTGCTGGACTGCAAAGTTGGTTTTGAATCACAAGGTCGGTGGTTCAAGCTCACCAACTACTCCTCAGAAACCCATACAGGGTCGCTCTGGGTTGGAACCGACTCAACGGCACTTCACAACAACAATAAAAACAATAGTATGAAAAAAAAGAAAGAAACGATAAATCACGAATTAATCCTCCTGAGACAATCTCTTTTAATATATTAGTATATGTTCATCTATTTTTAACATTTCTGAGATCTTATATATACTTGTATATATATATATATATGTATATATATATTGACTTGGTGGCAGCTAACAACATAAGCATTTCCCTTGTTGCTACTATCATTTAATAAAACAAATTTTATTGGTTGTAGAGATGTGTAAACACAAGGGTCTTGATGATGAGAAGTGTTGAGGCCCAGAAAAATCAGTATAGTCAATCATCTGAGATAGTATTATCTGTGACTTTCAGAACAAAGTGCTTCAGGACTCACATAGATAACTCTAAAAGAGTTCTTCCGTTTTGGAGCTGCAGTATCCCCTTGTCCTTCTCAAGGGGAATTTAAACCAGGAGACACCAGATAGTCTTGTAGATGTCTTCCCAAGTCCTAGGGCAAGACAGTAGAGACTAAGCACTCTTCTCATAATCTGTGGGCCCTGTTTCTTCCTCCTGGCCATCTGGGTGCGTTAGAAGTGAATAGGTGATTGTCTTCTCAGCCTAGAGAAAGCAGAAAGGAGCGTTAGGGATTCACAGAGAAGTCACAGGAAAGAAAGCACTAGAAGAGGTAGCAGGGGCCTAAAGGAGCTGGAGAGAAGGAGGGGAGAAGAAAGAGGACATGGTTGGGATGGCTCACCTCAGCTTTGGCAGCTTCATCAGCATCAGTGAAATTGGCTGTGGGCAAAAAGAATAGAGATCAGTTGGGGCACTTCTAACAGGAGAGGACCTACACATGTTCCTGTTGTGGTCATACACTGAGGTTCAAACCTTAAGGAGAGGGCCTCATAAGCCCCAACCCAGGCTTTAGGCCCAGAGCTGAGTAAATATGGTCTCATTCATGACTCACACTCCGTAACCCAAACACATTCCCCACTAACCACATTGGCAAAGGGAAGCAAGTCATTCATGCCATATTCTTTTTGGAAAATTGCTGAGCTTTCCTGGAAGCAAATCAGGCAGCTTCAGTATCTGAGATCTTGGGGAAGTAGAGATATCAGTATCAGAATGAAGTCAAGTACAGATTTTTGCTGACCACAACTTTAGGGAAAGAACACGGTAGACAATTTCCACACAGGCCAAATTTAGCTCATCTTTGTTGGGACTCTGAAGAATCTGATACTTACTCTGTGACATTAAAAAGAAAGAGAACATGAGACAGAGAAGAAAGAAAGAAAGAACTTTCTCAGGCAAATATTCAAAACACACCAAATTCCTTGCAAGCTTTTTACCAACAAACCCTTTCCCTTTGCCAGCATGAAAAGCAGCCTCAGTATCAGCAAATCAGCACCCCTCGGGAAGTTGGGGAGGGGTCCAAGACAATACATCTAGTCTCCTCTTTTATCGTCTGGACGCAGAGTCCCTGTTTGCCATCAGCCCCAGTACCTATGTAAATGACTTATGAAATATATTTATACCAGAACAACATTAAGGTTGTTCTTGGACTTTTTTCTGTAACTGGTTTGGTTACAGTGCAATCCCAGGTCCATATCCTCACTTGGCCTGGACAAGAGACATAGGGGTCTTGCTCAAAGTGCAGCTAAACAGATGCTGTTTGCTCAAGCTCTCAAATCTGTTGGCTATGCTCTGAATCAGAAGCCAGCTACTTAAGGGAGAGTTATCAATGGCCTCTTTTTCTGCCTTTTTCTGCTGTCATAGGAACCCACAGGGAAACCTACAGGCTTTTTTCATGTTTTGGCTTTAACTGCTGTTATTGTTGTTAAGTGCCATTGAGTCCATTCCGACCCATAGCGACCTTGTATAGGAGGAGGAGCTGGTAAGCTTTTAACTAGAGTTAGGAAATTTAACTAGAGTCAGGAAATTGCCTGAACTCCTTCTACTCTCTTTTTACACTCTCCCATCTGGGCAGGGGTTGTATAATCACTGACTTTCCACAGTTCAGACATGAAAGGGCTTAGAATTCATCTAGGCCAACCATTCATTTCATCAGAGCATGGAAGTGACTAGCTTAAGATATCTGTGACTAATGCTGACAGAGCTAGGGCCAGCCCCATATCTACTAAGCCTACACAAATGGGCATTAAAGCACCCAAAGTAAAGCCAAGGAATGTCCCTAGAGCCCCAGAACTTTCTCAAGTCCAAATCACCTATTATTATTCCACTAAGAGCTAAATCCTGGTGTGGCGCTGTGGTTAATGCACCAGACTGCAAAGCTGTTTGAACTGCCAGGTTGGCAGTTCAAGCTCAGAAGCTGCTCTTCGGTAAACTCTATACAGGGTCACTATGGGTCAATGGCACTTAACAACAACAAGAACGAATTACGGAAACAGAACCCTCCACAAGTCTAGGGCTTTTTCCTTGACCTCTTTCTCTTTAGAATCCTACCCCTCTGCCCTTTACTAGCTGTACTAAAGTCCCACAGAGAGACTCAAATATCTCTACTTTTGGGCTCTGGACATACCCCCAAGTATTGCTGTCCCCAGAAATTTGAACACAGTCTGCCTCTCCTTAACTAGGCATAGATGCTCCTATCACATCATCTCCTGCAAAGTCCTCTGTAGGCCTAGCAGTTAGACTCAGAGCTGCCAAAGTGATTTGAGACCCTGTCTTCATCCCACTATCCCTCCCTCTCCTGTATTGCCACATGAACTCACACAAGCCACTTCTTGCTGGTTCCAATCTTTGTAGAAACCATGGGTGGGGTATCACTGGGCCCCTAGAGGGGGATCTGCACTCACCTGACTCCTTAGGGAGAGTCTCTCCCATTTCCCTGGGAGAGCTAAGAGGGACACATAGAAGATTAGTATGGTTATGGGTGGGGCCTGAGATCTCAGAGCCAACTATCAGGGGAAGAACTGGATTAGAATTAACAAAGACCATTCCCTTCACAAACATTCCCTTTTCTCCCCACTCTCCGACTCTCTGCCCAGGGCCTGCCCTGCCCTGTAAATATTCACTCCAAAGAGAAAGAAATCTGAAATTATAGGGTCTCCTGAGGATTAGAAAGGTCACTCCATCGCATCTTCCTTAGGCTTGCTCTTATACAAGACAAGACAAGACTCAGTACCCTCTCTTGTTCTTCATATTTACTTATCAGTGACTGAGGTCGTATCTATAGACCAGTTATGAAAATTTCTATGAGGTATTAGTATTATTATTTTCTCTTTCTTTGTGTCTTCCAGTATGCTCTTTTTCTTTTTTTCCTCTGCGTTGTCTGTGTCCCAATGTCTTTATCCCTCTTTCTCTGCATCAGGAATTGTGAAACTGTGATAATTTTCTTACTTGATTTCTATGGTACCCTCTCTTCTCCTTCAGCTCTTCCACATTGATACTAAAGAGAAGGCAATGCTGCTTCTAAGAGTGAAGCTCTTAATTAGTCAGTTAATGAACAGATATTTATTGAGCAACATGCTAAGTACTGTGCCAAGTACTATGCTAGGTACTGGGAGAAAACGAGAAAGATGGCTTCTGCCCTCAGGAACTTACAGTCCTGCCATCACTTTTGGAATCAAATTCAAGTTCCGGTGTGGTGCTGCAGGATAATGCTCTGGACTGCAAGGTCAGTTTGAACTGCAAGGTCAGCGGTTCAAACCCATTAGTCACTCCTTGGAAACCCCGCACAGCGTTGCTATGGGTCAGAACCAACTTGATGGCACTTTATAACAACAAGAAGACACTATTCAGAAGGATTCCTGGTGATGCGGTGGGTTAAATGCTAGGCTGCTAACCCAAAGATCTGTGGTTAAATCCCACCAACCACTCCATGAGAGAAAGATGAGGCAGTCTGCGCCCACAAAGATTTATAATCTCGGAGAAATTCTAATCTGATCTATAGGGTTACTGTGAGTCAGAATCCCCTTGGTAGCAGTGGGTTTGAATTTGGTTTGGTTTGGTTTAGGCAATGTTTGGAGCCCTGATGGCACAGTGGTTAAGTGCTCAGTTGCTAACCAATAGGCCAGTGGTTTGGACCCACCAGCAACTCCACAGGAGGAAGATTTGGCAGTCTGTTTCTGTTACAACTTTGGAAACCCTAGGGTGCAGTTATATTCTGTCCTGTAGGGTGGCTATGGGTTGTAATCAACTTGAGGCAATGGATAGACACTGTTCATTCACTAGCCTCATTTCATCATCACAACAACCTTCGAGGCAGCTTCTGAGTTCTTCATTTTCCAAATGAGAAAACTGAAGCACAGAGAGATTAAGCAACTTACCCAAGGTAAAAAACTGGTGTTTTAACAGAGTTGAGATTTGGACCCAGGCTGTCTGACCCCAACACTCTGACACCTTCTCTAACTGTTCTACTGCATGCAGGGTGATGTGGCCTCCTCTGTAACCCAATCATAACCTTTGCACTTCTCTGTCATTGTTCTTACCTCATCTTGTTGGCATTATCTATTTGTGATTCTGTCTTCCCAACAATATTATGAATTCCTTAAGAGCAGGGACTGGACTTCTTATCTTGGTATAATCCACAGTGTCTAGCATAGCCTTACATAATAAGTGCTTATATAAATAAACAAGTTTATTCAATGTTTATAGAATGAATGACATATGGGACTATATGAGGGGGCTTCAAAAAGTTCATAGAAAAATGGAAAGATAATAGAAATTTCCACAAATTTTTTGAAGCTCTCTCATATCTAAATGCTAACAATCCTCTAGTCCAAAGACTAGAGTTCCAGCAAAGGCTGTGGTTAGGGTCTTGCTCAACTGGGAACTGTTAACAAGAGGGGTCAAAGGAAACCACAAACCTGAAGTTCGCTTTTGCCGGAGGTAGAACCAGGTTACTATAGCAACAACAATGGCCAAGACAACAATCCCAGACACAACAGCTGCAACCATCACCTCCAGTGAAGAGCTCACCTTATTAGACCCTGGAGAAGAAAGATGTCAGAACAGGCATCCTATTCCTTCCCTATTTCCACGCACCCCCCCTCATTTCTCCCTCACTCCCAATGCTATGCTCCAGTGCTTGTCACCTGTAGCTATTTTGTGTCTGGGTCATTTGCAGGTGCAAGACTTTCTTCTTTCTCTAAACCCCACCTGCACAGGGTTTCTGTGGCTAAGCTTGTGACTTCCACACAAACTAGTTCCTTCACTAAACTGGTAAGGCACACTAATTAGTGCCTCTTGGGGTAGTAGGGAGGGTGGGCCTGAAGTCTCCCTTTGAAATAGGTACCACAACTATATCAAGCAAGGAGCTCTGGTAGCATAGTGGTTATGAATCGGGCTGCTAATGTCAAAGGTTAGCAGTTAGAAACTACCAAGTTCTGTGGGAGAAAGATGAGGCTTTGTGCTCCTATAAAGGTTTGCATCCAGTACAGGGTTGCTATGAGTCAGAACCAACTCCATGGCACATAACCACCACCACCACCACTATATCAAGAACAACCTTGAACTGTCCAGGATATACCAGGCCTTTGGGAGCAAATGGGCATTACATGAGACAGGAGAAGAGACCAAGCAAGCCTCAGCTCTTAGAAATGCCTAGGAGCTTAGAAAACCACGGAGGGAGTCCCTAAAGCAGGGAGTGCTGCCTTAGGCTGGAGCTGAATTTCACAGGGAACAACAGTCTGGTCACCCATCACCGGGAAGCAGACAAAGTCAGGAGCATAGACAGAGGGGACTTAGATCTCTGACCCCTATTCTTGCCCATAGTCAATACTTAGCAAGCCACCCTACATCTCTTCTCCTTGACTTTATCCTGGTATCCAATTTGACTGCTGTGGCATTTCTGACATCTTCATGTAGGCCTATATGACCTTAGCCCTAAACATCCATCCTCTCCAGCCCCTCCCTATACTTTTTTCTCACTGCTACTAGAGTTTTCGTTGTGGTGGTCGAGAATATACACAACAAAACATGTACCAACTCAACTATTTCTATGTGTACAATGCAGTGGCATAGATTACATTCATTGAGTTGTGCAACCATCCCTCCCCCTACATCTTGACAAAGTTCCCCATACTTAGGACAGTGATGGTCACAGGCTTTGAGACGTATCGATTCCGGACTATTCCTGAGCAGTGATAAGCTCCACTGTGACTGACATTTGCTTGCGGAATAGAGAAGTTGGAATTTGTATGAAAATACTTCTTCGCCTTTCCATCCTGGTAGAATGTGACTTTGTACAGAGGCTGGTTCATCCAGTAGTGGCACCTCAGCACAATGGGCTCCCCCTCCTGAAATGTCAGGTGAGGGGTCTGGAGCAGCAGCCATTCTGAAAGACACAGAGAGACCATAGGAACCAGGAGGTCTAGGCACAGCTCTGAGTCATGCCGGCTTTAGTGGTGGGACATAATGTATGGTGGAAAGAGGTCAAGTTTGGAATCTGACAGTATTGGTCTCTAATTCTGACTCCATCATTTATGAACCCAGTAATATTGAGCAAGTTATGTAACCCTGGGTAGTGCAAATGTTTAAGCTCTCACTGTTAACTGAAAGGTTGGTGATTTGAGCTTTAATATTATTATCAATGACAGTGTTAAGTTTCAATTAGAGCTTCTGAAAAGTAAATTATTGTTCATTTATAAAACAAAACTAGAAAGCATGTTACACATTCATCTTTGGTCCTAACAACCTTGGCTCTAAAAAAAAATACAGTCAGTGCAAACAGATGTCATTTTGTTGTCAGTAAAAAAATCAAACAACCATAGGAGGCTGCTCATTAGATGGAAGAAGAGGCTGTGCCCATTCAGAATCTATAGGAGAGAAGAAAGTTTTTTAATTAAAACTGTCTGATTATAATATGGATTCAAGTGGGGAAAAAAAAGATATGGTGCTATTTGACAGCAGCTTCATTTTCTCTGTATGTGGTATCTTACCATGTCATGTCAAACTAAGTTTGTAGTAACTCCCATGAGAGTTGGTGACATGTTTAGGTGGCTCCACAGAAAAACCTGAAAAGTCTTTTTAATTATTTCTGGGGGTAAAAAATGACTCAGTATTTTCAGGCCTTGCTCTGAGACACCATACAAGGTATACTGAAATTAGCAAAGGAAATAATGTTTTGGGGTATATACCAACTTATCTAGAACTACAGGAAGGAAGTCTAGAAGTGTGCCTGCCTGGTTCTGAATAGAAAAAAACAAATTTGGCCACTCCAGAAGAAAAACCACCAGGATTTGTATCTATGAAGAGCATAAAATGGACATGCACATGAAGGAAAGCCAGCCTCACTTAAGAATGTTGGGGAGGGAGCAGGAGAGACAATTCCAATTTTACCTATCTGTACAGCCTATTATCATTAAATCGTATTTAGTTCCTTTTTTAGAAACCCTAGAACTCTGTCACTATGCAATAAACAATCTCTTTAGCCCCTGCTTTGCCTAAATTGAAGCACCATGGCAGCCCTTAGTGAGAATTTCATCTTGGTTGGTCAACCAGATGACTAGCTATAGATGAATGTGTTTTTATGTGCTTAATTTCAGTGTTGGAAGGGAAGACAAAAGTTTTGTTTTTTTTTAAAGAGGATACTTTAAACTACTTTGGATGGATATTTCATAATTTTCCAGACTAATTCTCAGTTAGCCTGGTCCACTGAGAATCAGTGATCAGGTTTTCAGGAAAGGATTAGCATTTTTCTAGAAAATGCCTGAAAGATTTTATTTTCTGAAGAAAGGCTATATGAAAATACCCTCCTCAAATAACTTGCTCAACTACATATAGATTCAAGTGCATCAATATTCTATTTTGTATATTAAACAAATGTTATATAATGGGAACACAGCTATACTATATTGTATATGGCATTATTAAGAAGCTTTTTCATTAATTTTTATCACAGTAATTTAAAAATATGTAAAAATTAAAACCAGTGATTCCTGTTTAAAAATTTTTGAAAATTTAAAAAAAAGTAAGGTTTGGTGGTTTGAACCCACTCAGAGGTACCTCAGCAGCTTGAAAGCTTTGAAAAAGCTTTGAAAACTCTATGGAACACAGTTCTCCTTTGACACACATGGATCTCCACGAGTCCGAATTGACTCAGTGGCAATTGGTTTGGTTGTTTTAGAATTTAACTCTTCTGAGTCTCAGTTTCCTCATCTGTGAAAATAGACATAATAATAGCATATGTCCACCACAGTTCCTGGCACATAGTAGGTGATCAGGATATGCTCATCTTTTCATTTCTGGGAGAAGCCAGGAGATGAACTCGGGTGGAGCCCTGTCCTGAACCCAACACACATTGGTAGGATGGACACAAAAGACAACCAATATGTAGCACTTCCCTGAAGAATTGGGGGGAAGAGACACAAAGTACAGAACACAGACATGTGTCTTTGGGGAGAGTAGAAATTTCTGAACAACCAACAACAAACATTAGCTTATTTGATGGATGTTAGTAATTGTGGAGCTTCATGTCAGCAGAGTCTTTATCTGATGGTAGCAGTATCATAGATGGGTAATTAACCTGATATGTACTTTTGAGGAAAATCTGGGAATCAGACAAGAAAAGTGGACCAGGCAAAGAAGAATGACAAGTTCCCTCTTAATCACCTCGTGGCTTTTCTTTACAGAGAACCTACTTTGTGCCAGAAGCTTTGTAAAATCATTGATCTGCTCAGCAAACATTTATTAAGTTCTGCCGTGTGTCAGGGGCTAAGATTAAAAAGAAGGATATGTCACAGCTTTAATCAAGTTTGTCCACAGTCTAGTAGAAGACAAAGACAAGGCAAAGAAGAGTACTGAGCACTATCAAAGCATGAAGAAGGTAGTAGGGGTAGAGAGGAAACAAGCAAATCAAGACTCAAAGGTTAAATAAATTTATCAAGATTATATGGCTAGTGGAGTCCTGGTGTAAAGCTGTGGGTTAATGCTCTTAACTGCAAGGTCAGCAGTTCAAGCTCACCAGCCACTTCATGAAACCCTATACAAGGTCACTATGAGTCAGAACCGCCTCGATGGCACTTAATAACAACAGCATATGACTATTAATTTCCAGAGATGGATTTGGTTGTTTCTGATGCTGATGTTGCATTTTTCTCCTCTGCTATTACAATGGGAGGGTTTTTATGGAGTGCGGATTTCCTTCTGCTTCTCCCACATGTTGTGGTCTTGTGATCTTTGTCAATCAGGATGAGGAAAAAACACTAATTCATATACTCTAAGGAATTTCATAGAAACTGTCATCCCCACCGCCCACACTGAGAAAGGGGTGAAAAGGGAAATGAGTGGGCAAAAACTGTTTCCAACAACTCTTAGCAGTATTTCCCAGTTAACAGCCCTCATCCCCCCTCCACCCTCTTTTAGGAAAACTTCTGCACTGTAAGCAGATTGCATCAATCCTCTCGTCCTCCCAGATCTGCCCAGGCTGCTCCTCCACTGACCTGAAAACACGCCCAACTGCACAGGGTCGCTGAGGCTGGACTGGTCTGTCTGGCACCTGTATTCTCCACTGTGGTTCATGGTGGCCTTAAATCTGTAGCTGGACTGCACCTGAGTTGGAATGGGGTTCCCTTTGTGGAACCACTGGGTGGAGTAGTCTCCAGTGGCATGAGCCCCATGACACTTCAGAGTCACGTAGTCCTCTCGTAACACATTGATCCATGGAGGCTCAATATTCACCACTGCCTTTGGAACATCTGCCAAGAAGCATAGAGAGAGGGCGAAGCATGAGAAAAGGAGACTGAGCAGGCCCTGGGTACCAAACAGAGAAACCTGTGGTCCTTCTGAGGGTAGCAACAGTAGAACCAGATCCAGAACTGTTGTGCAACTGAAGGCAATTCTCTTCCTCCCACATCCCACCACAAGGCCTGGGAACCCAGCTCCTCTCAGGGAGTTCTACTACTCCTCAGTAGTAAAGGGCATCGAGTGCGATGGCGTTAACTCTGACTCATGGCAACCCAGTTGTTTCAGAATAGAACTGTGCTCCATAAGATTTTTCAATAACTGTACTCTTGGAATTAGATTGTATCTCTGAGTAGATTCAAACCACCAACCTTTCAGTTAGAGCCTTTAACTATTGCATCACCTAGGAAAGAAGATATATGTAAAATCTCCAAAGGATATACTAACCAGTTCCTTTTCTCTCTCTCTCTCTCTCTCTGTCTCCCTCTCATACAGGTACATACACATACACATCCCACACATACTATCTGCAGACTGACATTCTTTTCCTGTAAACAAACTCTCCAGAGTCTATTGAAGTCAAGTTTGTGCATCTGGTGGAGATATCAGACTAAGGGATGGCCCCTTCTCACACCAAGTACAGAGAAATCCCTGCACCCAGAAAGGTAAAGAGGCTAGAGGCAAGTCTGAGAAAACTTATTAACTGGACTGAAGTCCTTGCATAGTAAGTGGTGCAGAGATATAAGTGCCCAGCAAAGCTCACTGCACCAAGCTACAACCAGAGTTATCTTTCTCTCTCTCTCTCTCTCTCTCTCTCTCTCTCTCTTTCTCTCTCTGTGTGTGTGTACGTGTTCAGGAAAGTGGGCTGCAGTGCTCCTAGGCCATGCAAAGTAAAAGACTTATCAACATACAGTGATTTTGCATGAGGCTGAAACTAAAATTGTTGGACTCTTGATTTTATTTGAACACGAGAACAGTCTGTCATTTTCTGTGACAGTTTCTATACCTCAACATAAGAACCAGAGGACTTGAAGCACCTGCCTCCTATCACCTGGGAAGAGGGGAGGAGGAGGAAAAGAGAAGACGGGAGGGTTAACCTCTGGGAACAAATGCCCTTTCCTGATTTCAGTACTGGGCTCCTGATAGCGGGCACACAGGGTACTGGGAGTAGAGAGGGAGTGCAGCTGGGGTGAGAGAGAGGATGTGGGTTGAGTACTTACCAGATGTTCCAGCAACAGGAACTGTAAGAAAGAAAACAAAGATCAGCCCAGAGTTTGAATCTCAGCACCAAGCTATCCCTGCCCAAAACAAGAGTCTGGGTCTAGAAGACACCTTATCTCAACCACAGCAAAGCCCTTGCCCATCTGTGACTGCCTGGATGAGGAACACTTTCAGAAAGATGGGGAGCTACTTTTCCAACAACAGAAGAAAATGAAACAAAATAATATAAAGCTTTCCCATCTGTTTTGTGACACTTTAATTTGGTTTAACTTTTTTTTAAAAGTTTTTATTGTGAATTGAGTGAAAATTTACAGGGCAGATCATCAGTTTTTCATTCAACAAATGATACACCTTGTTTCATTACAATGATTATAATTCCCTCCATCAGGAATTTAATTCAGCAAATACATACCTTCACTTCTTCACCCAGTAATACCAACCAACCAACCTGATGCTGTTGATTTGATTCTGGCTCATGACTACCCCATGAGTTTCAGGGCAGAATTATGCTCCATAAGGTTTTTAAGTCTGTGACTTTTGGAAGTATATCATCAGGTCTTTCTTCTTCTTCGTCTTCCTTTTTCAAGTATTTATTGTGAATTGAGTGAAAGTTTATAAGGCAGATCATCAGTTTTACATTCAACAAATCATAAACTTTGTTTCTTTACAATGATTATAAACCTCTCCATGTACCATCAGTTAACAGTACTTCTCTCTATTCATTTTAGCTCTTTTTTTTTTTTTTAACACTTAAAAATATATAATAATTTAAACCACCAAAGGGCACATTCTGCAAGACTGCCTCCTGGCCACTAGCTCTCAGTCCCTCTCTTCCCATGAATTTAGAGTCCTCAGCTGCTCCCTCTCTCCATGTCCCCATCTCTGTCTCCATCTCTTGTGTCACTACTTCACTGGATAGGATCTCACATTCCACTTGTGCTCTTCTCCCTTGATGGTCCTAGGGGCCTCTGTTTCTGGACTGTAAGATTAACTGCTCCCCTGTTTTTGCTACAAAATTTCTACCTTTACAATTGTGACAGTCACAATTAGTCATGATAACTATTAATCACTATTGAAGCATAAGAATATTATCCCTATCTCTTTTCACCAGACCCATCTAGACAAGACGAACACTATTCAGTGGGGACTCTTTCTTCCCCCACATAATATTAAACTAAACTCCCTCTTGACACCTTGTAAGCCAGTCACTTTGTGCCTTTAGGTAGTAAATACTTAAGTTGGCCATCCCTATCTACCCTATATACAGAGGATATAGCATTGATACTTGATGTGAAGACTCCTTCCCTCTCCGTTGGTATTTAGAGTTACTACCTCCATGAGTATAGGTTAAGTTAATCAAATCATAGCAATTTACCTTTGTTTCCTTTATCAAAAATTGTTTTTGTTTTTGTTTTTTATATCTTCCTCTTGTTAAGTTCTGATCATCAAGGCGTCGAGGCTAGGTTATATGACTACTATCTGGAACTTTGGGTGTTCTTGTACATCTCCCCTCTCTTCATATCAGCTGGATGCTTCACTCTCAGCTCTAGCCTTCTGTGGCTATGGGCTTGTCCATGGGCTCAGGTGTCTCCAGGTCTCACCACACTTTAGACCAACCAGCCCTTCCTCTTCTCTCTCTCATCTTCAGGTCAACAGGAGTCTATGGAACATGGTTCAACTCAGCCCATTTCTTCATTGCTGACTTTCCCCCTCTTCCACTCACCAGTAGACCAACGTTGTCACCAGCAAGCTTACATGCCTGCTCATGTGTTCCCTTTGAGTTTCAGTCTTAAAAGAGGGTTTGTCCTGAAGGAACTTGATTGCTTGTCTAGATGGCTTCCCGGCAAACAGCTTGCTTATTCTTTTAGTAGCCAGTCATACTGCCATTTTTATTTGGGGCGGGGGGAGGTTAACATTTTTGACTGCTTTAAATAAAAACACCTCTGGAATGCGAGCGCTGTCCAGCTTTACATATGATTTATGCTTCAGTGGAATGATTTTGTTAGAGCCTGTCCTGAGAGCAGGTTTTGTTCTTTTGTGAGGGAGAGGGTAGAGAGGTATAGAGCAGAGAATTATACAGATAATTCAAATCCACAGTCACTAGAAATATAGAAAGTACATGAAAGCAAACACTTGACATACATCATTTTCATGAAAACATACATATGATGTATGCAAACAGACTTAATTGACAAATGAGGATACGCCATAAAAATTGTTCTTTAATTTCTCACTAAACAACATAAGGTTTAGGGGATTAATTTGTTTCTATGATGCCATTTTTAATGACTACTCTAGCCCACTGTTTGTGTCTCCTGTGATTAAATTGACATCCCCATTGCATGACACTTCAATTACAACATTTTTTTTGCTATTATAAATACTTGATAGGAAAATAGAAAGGAGATGACTACAAATAGACACCAGATATATAGTCTCACATGGGGAAAGAGGAATGACACTAGGTGAGTTAAAGATCTTCCTAAGTGAAGACAAAGTATAATCTAGGAAGGATAAGGAAAATTGAATAGATGCTCAAGAGAAGGGGATTAATGAGCACTATTATTGGATGGAGTCCCCGAGTAGTGCAAATGGTTAGCACTGTATGAGTAACTGAAAAGTTGGTTGTTCAAACCCACTGAGAAGCACTTCAGAAGAAAGACCTGTAAGCCCATGGACAAGGCCATAACCATGGAGGGCTAGAGCTGACAGTGAAGCATCCAGCTGATACGAAATGAGGGGAGATGCACAAAAACACCCAAAGCTGCAGATAGTACCCATTTGATCTAGCCTCGATGGCTTGATAATCAGAACTTGACTACAGGAAGATTTTTTAAAAATTGATAAAGAAAACCATAGGCTCTGAGGATCAGACTTTAGCTACCTAGAAGACATAGCAAACTGGCCCTCATCTGATTATTCAGTAATGCTTGTTAGTAATCTCACACATGAGCCCTGGATATCCACAGACAAATGTAAAAACCTTCCCTAAAAGCCGAGACTGTAAATTCCAAAAAGGCAAGTTCCCCCCCCCCCAAAAAAAAAAAAAGCTAAAGAGGATAGAGAGAAACACTGTTAACTGATGATATATGGAGGGGATAATAATCAATGTAATGAAACAAGCTATATGAATGGTTGAATGTGAAGCTGATGATGTGCCCTGTAAACTTTCACTCAATCCAAAATAAAAACATTTAATTAAAAAAAAATTGATAAAGAAAATGAGGGTAAATTGCTACAATTTGATGAACTTGACCTAAACTCATGGAGATAGTAGCTCAAAATACCAATAGAGAGGGAAGGAGTCACTTTAGGTATCAATCCTATCCTCTCTGTATACAGAATAGATAGGGACGGGCAACTTAGACATTGGCTACCTAAAATGAGGGGGTGATAAAGGCATGAAGTGAATGGCTTACAAGGTTTCAAGAAGGAATTTAGTTTAATAGTATGTGGGGGAAGAAAGAGTCCCCACTGAATAGTGTTCATCTTGTCTAGATGGGTCTGGTGAAAAGAGATAGGGATAAGATTCTTATGCTTCAATAGTGAGTAATAGTTATCATGATGAATTGTGACTGTCACAATTGTAAAGGTAGAAGTTTTGTAACAAAAATGGGGGAGCAGTTAATCTTACAGTCCAGAAACAGAGGCCCCTAGGACCATCAAGGGAGAAGAGCTCAAGTGGAATGCGGGACTCTATCCAGAGAAGCAGCCACACTAGAGATAGAGGCAGAGATGGGGATATGGAGAGAGGGAGTAGCTGAGGACTCTAAATTCATGGGAAGAGAGGGACTGAGAGCTGGTGGCCAGGAGGCAGACTTGCAGAATGTGTCCTTAGGTGGTTTAAATTATTATATATTTCTGAGTGTTAAGAAAAAATATGAACAGAGAGAAATATTGTTAACTGATGGTACATGGAGAGGTTTATAATCATTGTAAAGAAACAAAGTATATGATTTGTTGAATGTAAAACTGATGATCTGCCCTATAAACTTTCACTCGATTCACAATAAGTACTTTTTAAAAAAAGAAGAAGAAGAAAGGCCTTCTTCTTTCACAGTCTTGAAAACCCTATGGAGCATAATTCTGCCCTGACACTCATGGGGTAGTCATGAGCCAGAATTAACTCAACAGCATCAGGTTGGTTGGTTGGTATTATTGGGTGAAGAAGTGAAGGTATGTATTTGTTGAGTTAAATTCCAATGTGTGTGTACAGTGTATGTGTGTGTATGAGTATGTGTGTATGCCCATTAGAGGTGGTTTTTATTGTTGTTGTTGTTGTCAGGTGCCATCGAGTCAGAACCCACTCATAGCGACCCCACGCACAGCAGAACGAAACAATGTTCGATCCTGGGCCAACCTCACTACCGCTGCCACACTTGAGTCCATCAATGATGCCACCTGGCTGATCCATCTCGTTGGGGGTCTTCCTCTTTTTCTCTGACCCTCCACCCTACCCAGCATGACATCCTTCTCCAGCGATTGTTTCCTCCGGACAATATGTTCAAAGTAGGAGAGACGAAGCTTAGCCATCCTGGCCTCCAAGGAGCACTCTGGCTGCACTTCTTCCAAAACAGATTTATTGGTTCTTTTGGCAGTCCATGGCACTTTCAGTATTCTCCTCCAACACCACAATTCAAAGGCATCAATTCTTCTACGATCCTCCTTATTCACTGTCCAGCTTTCGCATCCATATGAGGCTATTGAAAACACAATGGCCTGGGTCAGGCGCACCCTAGTCCTCAAGCTGACATCTCTGCTCTTCAACACTTTAAAAAGTTCCTGTGCAGCAGATTTGCCCAGTGCAATACGTCATCTGATCTCTTGACTGCTACTTCCGCGAGTGTTGATAGTTGATCCAAGAAGAGGTGGTTTTTTGTTGTATTTAATTAATGCTGGGAGAAAGTCAGGAAGAAGAAAAATATTTGAAAGAACTAAAAAGTATGCTTTGAGGCAAGAGCAAGAGGTGAAAAAGATGTTGTAAGGAAAGGTTGGCTTGGGGGTTTAGAGAATTATATTC